GTGAGCTTCGTTCATGATAATCTCCCTGTAACCACCGTACCTCGGGGTCCAGATCCGGTTCATGAAATAGTAAACTTCGTTTCCTTTGACCTCTATGTTCTTTTCCATTCCTCTTAAGGCTTCGTCCGTCACGTTCTTTGGTTTTAAGGCTTGCAGCTGAGCCTCTCTGATTTGAGCGGATAGATGGGAATGGATGGTCATTGTCAGTGCCTTCACTATACGACCTGAATACTCTTTTCGGCTGAGGGCATCTGCTACCACATTGGCCTTGCCGGGATGATAGCGTATTTCACACTTGTAATCGATGGGTAGCTCTACCCAATCGCCGCTGTCTCATGTTCAACTCTTTCTGATCAAAGATATGTTATAGGCTCTTATGGTCGGTGAAGACAGTGCACTTGGTTCCGTAGAGATAATGTCTCCATATCTTTAATGTAAAGACCACTGCTCCCAACTCTAGGTCGTGAGTTGTGTAATTGACCTCGTGCGTTTTCAGCTGTCTCGAGGCATAGGCAATAACCTTTCCTCGCTGCATAAGCACACAACCTAGGCCCTAACTGGATGCATCACAGTAGACAACGAAGTCCTCCGTCCCTTCGGGCAGAGACAAGATAGGTGAGCTGCATAGGGCCTGCTTCAATGTTTGAAATGCAGTGTCTTGATTTTCTCCCCAACTAAAGGTTACCCCTTTCTATGTCAGGGTGGTTAAAGGCTTTGCAATTTTGGAGAAATTCTGGATAAATCTGCGATAATAGCCAGCGAGACCCAAGAATTGACGGATTTCTGTGGGTGTCTTCGGTGCTGACCAATTCTCAATCACTTTGATCTTGGAAGGGTCTATGTGTATGCCTTCCTCGCTAACCACGTGACCAAGGAAAGTTACTTTTGGGATCCAGAATTTGCACTTTGAAAACTTTGCATAATGTTTCTCCGCCTTTAGCATTTCTAACACTAGTCTCAAGTGTTGTGTATGATCTTCCTTGCTCTGAGAGTAGACAAGTATATCATCGATGAACACGATTACAAACTTGTCTAGGAACGGGCGACACACCCGATTCATCAGATCTATGAAAACCGTTGGTGCGTTGGTTAGACCAAAGGGCATAACTACAAACTCGTAGTGTCCATAACGACTTCAGAATGCTGTCTTAGGAACATCATTCCCATGAACTCGCAACTGATGGTACCCTGATCTTAGGTCTATTTTTGAGAAATAAATGGCTCCCTGAAGTTGATCGAAGAGGTCGTCGATTCTGGGTAAGGGATAACGGTTCTTGATGGTAAGCTTGTTCAGTTCTCGATAATCAATGCACATCCGAAAGGATCCATCCTTCTTTCTCACGAATAAGATCGGGGCTCCCCAAGGTGAGGAACTTGGCCTTATGAATCCTTTGTTGAGCAACTCATTGAGTTGGCTGGATAGCTCTTGCATTTCTGCCGGCGCTAGACGATATGGGGATTTAGCTACGGGAGTAGCTTCGGGGATTAAGTCGATATGAAACTCGACTTGGCACTCGGGAGGGATTCGTGGAAGATCTTTGGGAAAAACATCAGGAAAGTTGTAGACTTCAGGGATGCTCTCGAGGTCCTTCACTTCCTGATTTTTGTTAACGACATGAGCTAGGAATGCATGGCACTCCTTTCGCAGATATTTCTGGGCCCTGATGCATGAAATGATACGAAGGTTCGAGCTGAGTTTATCACCGTAAACTATGAGAGCTTCTCCTGAGGGCAGATTGAGACGAATGGCTTTTTTATAACAAAGGATATCGGCACGATTGGAGCCCAACGAATCCATACCAATGATGACATCGAAGCTTTTTATGGAAACTGGCATAAGATTGATGGGGAAAGAATGGTCATTTAAGGTAAGGGTACAACCTATGAATATGTCGCTAGTGCTCTCTTTCTTTCCGTTAGCCATCTCGACGGTAAATTTTTCGGTTAAGGGTTGGGATTTACACTTGAGTCGCTGTTTAAATGCATGACTAACAAAACTTCTCTCTGCACCAGAATCGAAAATAATACATGCATAAGAGTTGTCGAGAAGGAACGTACCTGTAACAACGGTGGGATCAGCAACTGCCTCTTCCTCGCCCATCGCTAACACTCTCCCTGTGTTGCCAACTATTGTTGGCTTGGGGCAATTCCTTTTGAAGTGCACAACCTCCCCACAGCCATAACAGGCTTGACCAGCACCCGCTCCGGGAGCCTGATTGGTTGGTTGGACTGGTGCCTTGCAGAATCGAGCTGTATGTCCCTTCTTACCACAGCTGTTACACAACATATCCCGGCGCTGTCCATGATGATGGAAGTTGCACTTGTTGCACTTTGGAAGAGCACCAGCATATCCACTGGTAGGCGCTTGGGTTGTTGGAACATCAGCAGGAGTAGTAGCAGCGTGGACCGCCACTGTTTGTTGTTTCTTGGAGGACTCCTGCGAAGACTGGCCCTTACGCTTGTTCCATAATTTCTTTTTCCCACCACTCTCCTTCGATGGTTCGGGAGCAACTGTTACTTTATCCAGATCAACCCCGTGATCTATCAGGGTCTGCGCCAGACACTTGGCGCTGTCAAAAGTGGTAGGCTTAGCAGCCAAGACATTTCCTTGAGTTGGGGGCTTCGATCCCCAAATGTATCTTTCTATCTTTTTGCTCTCCGGGGTGACCATTCCCGGACATAGAAGAGCCAGATCGCAGAATCTAGCTGTGTAGGCAGCAATGTCGGAACCCTTCATCTTCAGGTTCCAGAGCTCGTGCTATAACTTCTGCATCTCGCCCCTTGGGTAGTACTCATCAAGCATTAGTTCTTTTAGGCTTTCCCAACCCATAACATTCGCTACCGGTAGGGTTAGGGATTTGACTCGACCATTCCACCAGGTCAGTGCTCTGTCGGTGAAGGTGCAGGCGGCGAACTTCACCTTGTTTGCCTCGGAACACGCGCAAATCTCAAAAATGGATTCGATCTTCTTGAACCATCGAGTTAGGGCAATGACTCCTCCATTGCCTTCGAAGGATTTGTTTTCGCGTTCATGAAATCCTTATAGGAACACTCCCTTTGATGTCCCTGATCGCCGAGGTTCTGGGGATGAGTACCACCTCCGAATCCGCTAGCCCCACCCTGGTTTATCTACGCTATTACTGCAGTCACGGTGGCTGTAACTGGTGCCTAGAACATGACAGGATCGAACTGAGGAGGTGGTGGCGGCGGAGGGTCGTTGTTCTTCCTGATGGGTTTCTTTCTGGGAGGCAACAATTACAGACCCTAGCGGGTCCATTAATACATCTTTTACTGATAATGCTGCCCAGAAGCTAATTGGAGCCACCTCCAAAAGTTTTTTGATAACAAATAGATCAATAGAAAGATGCTACCTTTAATTATCACAGATTGCAGAGGATTGTTAAAAAAACATGTCTATTCAAATGCCAAAATCCTCAACCTCTGAAAATATGAGAATAATAATTGTTGACAAGGCAGACATTATTGGTCTGAATGAAATAGCAATTCCAACAACTTAAAAACCAGCTATTAAATCCAATAATGTCGACATTGATCATACATTTGGAACAGTTTCACTCTCATAAATAGGTTACATGCCTCAAAAAACCTCTTTTTTCAAACCATAGGTATTATCATACTTTTTCTATATATAACAAAAAAAAAATGGTCTTTTTGGATGTGCAGATAAATCTTCAGTTCCAAAAGGTTGAAAACGGGGTCGGAAATCACCATAAATGTTATTGTTTTCTACAACATCGTTATAGGCAAAAGCTCTTTGTGTATACTACTAAAAACAATAGACATAATAGTTATGGTTTGTAATCACTAGTTAATAGACATAACGACATCTATGTTTTGTATTAGCTCTTTTACTAATCCACGTCTACATAAACTTACATCCTTCGTACATCTTTTCTATTTTTCCAAAAAACCATGGTTTATCAGTACTTTTACAAGAAAAATCAATGCACACTCCATCTCTTTATATCATGGGAAATCACAAATATATGGTATCTAAAAGACTAAAGAAGAAATGTATATGTGGTTAGGAAAAGAAGCAATTTAAATAGAAGAGTTGGTTTTAATCATATTCTAATATAACTATTGAAGAACAAATAAATTAGAAGATGTTTACAAGCTAGAAACAGGATAAATTAGTCATTAAATTGGCGTTAGGTTTATAATAAGGTCATTAAAATTACTGATGATAAATTACAATAAAAACCACAATTTTTAATCAAATAAGTCTTTTAATAATGCATATTTAAATAAGCTCAACTCTATAAAATAAAAAAACATATATAATGAAAAAAAATTCTAAAGATAAGTATTGAGGAACAAATAAATTAAAAGATGTTTACAAGCTAGAAACATGATAAATCAGTCATTAAATTGGCGTTAGCTTTATAATAAGGTGATGAAATTACTGATGATATATTACAATAAAAACCATAATTTTTAATCAAATTACTGTTTTAATAATGCATATTTACATAAGATCACACTCTATAAAAAAAACATATATAGTGAAAATAAAATTATTACAAAAATTAATAACCAAATCCAAATGGCAAAAGATTACATGGAAGTTAATATCTACATATCCATATGTAACATTAAAACCATATACACATCCATCCAAATGAAAAAAAATATTATATTATTATAAGCTAGTCCTCTTAAATAGGTATAGCATTGCCACAAATTCACACCTTAAGCATACACGTCATAAGATTAACCTCAATACATTGCAACCACCTACAAAAGAACAACAAACATTCACATTAATCGAACATAAAATCTATCCCTTTATGATCCTAGTCCTCTTAAATAGGTATAGCATTGCCACTAAATTCCCACCTTAACTATACACATCATGAGACCAACCTCAATACTTTGCCACCACTTACCAAACAACAGTAGACATTCACATAAATTGATTATATAACACCCTTACTCCATATACACACATATCAAAATACATACTACAATAGAAAAATATGAAAGACATCCAGGTTCGACAGATTTTGCAAGAACTAATTAGCCATCTACGAGAAGTTGGAGACATGATGGAAGCGGTTCAGGTAACGATCAAGGAAGGAGTGAAAATACATAAAGATTTCAACAATGGTATCCCCATAGAAGAAGACGACACCAACTACAACATTACTAAAGAAGTTGTCGGAGATGCAAAAATGGAGAACATGTCCATGCAAGATAACACATCGTTTATGCTAGCGACAATTCATAAGCAAATTGGGAAACATAAACAAGTGATGAAGAACTTCACAGAGGATTAACTTTTTATGTATGGCCATCTTTTGAATACCTATTATGTTGTCCCTTTTATCTATGTAGTCAATTTCATTAATTATGTTCGCATATACCATGAAATAAATAAAAATAGTTGTATCAAATAATATCTACAACTGTTTTTGGTGAAATGTTGTCTATATTAATAGTTTCTAAATAAAGTTTACCTTCACTTCTCATAAGTATAGTTCTTATATAGACGTGACCTTCAAAACCATGAAGTCTCCATATTAAAGTCCTCCCAACCACTAAATCAAACTTGAGGATCTTAAACATCGAAAATTGGAATAAACATAAATACGGTATAAATGCTATTAGTTCTCATCCAACCTACCGGATAAAATTAATCAGCTATGAAAGACAACGACCCTTTATTCCAAAACCTCACACCAATATAAAAATAACTCCTAACACAGAAAATGAAAAGTACAAATGTTGAAACGATGCTCCAGACGTTGGTCACCCGCTTGTGCAAAAGGATTACAACACTGGAGGCAGCCATGACCAACATTGAAGAAGACGTGACCATGACAGATGAATGTGACACCAGTTGGATTAGGTGTCTTATCCCATAACTATAATTGGTGTGTACTTGATTTGATAGTAGCATGGTCCTTTTGGCGTGCCTTCACCTTAACAACTTGACAGGATGACTTTTGGAATAATAAATTGATTTATTAATGTATTATGAAAAAAATATATTAATTAGAAATCATGTTATTTAATTAGTATTTAATCATAAATTAATTTGGAATTAATTTTGGGATTAAATGAACTGATTAAAGGAACAGGGGCAGTTTTGCAAATCATTGATAGTTGTGAAACTGGGCTACTGGACTCCTTAAAATGGATTGGACGAAAATTATAGGAGGCCTATGAGATTTTCGTCCAAGGCTCCTTAATGAGGGTCCATGGTCCGCTTAAGCCTGAAGCAGGAAATTAGGGTTTCCTCTAGAAAACCGTAGCATCCTACAGTTATATAAAGACCCCACGCCTTGTGATTTTCGAAAAATGTTGGTGTTAAGAAAACCTTAGCCGACATTCTTAGGGCATTCCTCCTCTCTCCTTTCATCATCTTGCTAGTGGTGTTTGTGAATCATTACAGGTGCAACATTTGAGGCACTAAGCTTTCAATAGTTAAGGATCTTCAAAGTTTCTTTTTATTGCTACATAGCAAGTGAGGTAAACTTCTAAACCTAATATATGTTGATTTTGAAATTATATATGCTAGATCTAGGGTTTATTTATTTGGTATTCAATTACATGTTCAACTAGAGAAAAACTTAGATCCAAAGCAATTAGGGTTGCATAATCACATAGGTTGTTGTTATGCTCAAAACCCCTCAGTGGTATCAAAGCCTAGGATGTTTTTTAGTTGAATTTGATGCGTATGTGAATTGTCTAAAGGAGGAGGAAGCAAATTCGTCAATATGTTCATTGAACTCGATGAGTTCCTCATGGGACTCGACGATTTGGTCCTACTTGACGAGTTCACTTGCCTGAAATCGACGAGTAGACTCGTCATATCCCTGGTTTTTCGATATTCATATCTTGATTTGATTAGGATAATTGCCTTAATTCGATTTTATTGCTTAAGATTGAATTTTCTGAAAAGGTTATGATATATCCTTATCAAGGTAATTGATTTGGTCAAATTTTAAGATAAAGACAAAATAATTTGATTAATTAAATTATTTAAAATTTGATCTAGTACTTGTGAATAGTTTTAAAAATACACCATTTAGTTTCGGAGTTTACAATTTAATTAAAAGTTTAATTTTGAAATCTTAAATTCTAGAACCCTAGTATTTTAAAAGGTTTAAAGTACACCCTTATGGATGTTGTTAATACTTTAATTAAATGTTTAATTAAAAGATAATTAATCAATCCATAAAAGGGTTTAAATTTAATCAAATTAAAAGTTTAATTTATTAAAAGATTAAACCCCTAGTATTTTAAAAGTTTAAAACACACCCTTATACTATTATAGAATTAAAGTTTAATATAATATATATATATATATATATATAGATATATATATATATATTATATATATATCTATATATTATATATCTATATATATAATATCTATGTATGTATGTATGTATGTATGTATGTATGTATAAGAAAAGTCACTCTTACCGTTAGTAGGCCTCATTCACGAAGCTTGTCTATAAGGGGTGATTAAGGAAGCGGGCTGTAAAATGACCGCCATTGGGTATCCATTCTTACCCACCGCACTCTTGACTATTGGAGGGTCCTTAGCTGAACGGGTAGGATAGGACACTAAACTCTCATTAGAAGTATAATGACATAAAGTAACTAAACTTTTTTCTAAAATCTCATTCTTAGTTACTTTAGGAAAAATGTAAATTTGATGCTAACCCATGAAATTACACATTGCACCTTATTGGTCATTAGTGGAGCGTGTGTGGTTGACCAAGACACTAATATGTGACTGATATTGTTGGCAATGGGTGTCTCCTAAATTATCGTTGACTTGATGGAGCACATGTGGTTAACCGGCACGTTAACGTCAAGTGATAAATGACATTGAGATACCAAGTTAATTTACATGGTTATTCACATCTCGTTTGTGATCCTCGACATCCCAGTCACAAAGTGAGAGCATAATCGAGATTAAACATGTCATTCAATTTTTAATGAATTTCAAAAGATCTAGGAGTTTCATTGAATTGAAACTGGTAAATGTTTACCCAACTAAAATAGATTCGAATTTGATTACGGCATCCCACTTCAGAATTCAAATCGAAAATATGGATACTAGCCTTAATTTAAAATTTTGAGTTAATAATTAAGGATTATATAAATCAATTGACTTGAATTCTTTTCTCCCTTTATAGATGTCAAGTTCAGACAAATACGGTCTTCCTGGAAATGTTTTTCCTTCTCTTTCTGAAGATGAGCTTCCACAAGTTGATCAAGGTGAAAGAATCTTCCCTTCTTCAAATGGTGTAACTGGAAATCATACTTCTCTAACTCTTCATTCATCACCTCCAGTGATTCTCCCCGACCCACATTTTCGTCAAATTGAAAAGTTCAAGGTTACTCAGGACTTGTTGGCATGCAAACACATAGATGGAAATTTCGTATGTGCACATGTTTATAACATGAAGTCTCACATTGACAGATTGAGAATGTTGGGTTTCGTTTTCGCAAAGGACTACTATTTGACTGACAACGACATGACCCTTATTGATCTGACATATTTGCTAATTGTTGCTGAAGTAGAAATGCTAAAGTGCAATGGTCAAGCAAATATGTTTGAATGATCAACCTCCCAAGTTTCCATGGACCTTAACAATGGCAACATTGGTAGTCCAGAAAAGGTTTCTCTTCCTAATGGAAAGGGATCGGCCAAAGTCAAACTGTTTGACCATATGGTAAAAAGAAAGGCCAATTCTGAGATAGTCCCATGTGCCATTCCCAAAGAGTCCATATGCTTCTATTGCCAATTGAAGGGGCATTAGATGCGAAACTGCCAAAATTACCTGAAAGATCTTAGAGATAGTGAAGTCAAGTTGTATGAATCCACTTCAGGTACATCCACTATCTAACTCCAATAAGTTTCTATTCATAGATTCTTATTACATGATGTGATGATCACATTTTGATGTTTTGTAGGATTTAAGAGAAAGAAGGAAGCTTGAGAAGAGTGAGCTGAATTTGATCGTGAGAGATGGATTTTGATCGCATGGTTCGAGGATCAGATTTTTGAACTGCTGCTTAGGAGTTTTGATAGAGTAATAGATTGCTTAGTAAATATGTCTAGAAACATAGTTTTCATATGTTTGCATTGTAAGGATTAATTTTTCCGCATTTTATTAATAAAGTTAGTTTTTGGTTTTAAGTTATTTATTTTATATTTCCTTGCAATGGCATTTATGAAAATTGGTGGTTATATTTCTATTATTAGCAATGTTAAGTATGGATTGATTCTTGATTATATCGTTTGTGGTTATGTCTTAATCAACCAAGTGAAATAGGCATTCTCATCACCCAAGGCTCGGTTGGATAGAAACTTGGACTCATACAATTCGAATTATGTGATGTATGAGAATCTCGATCTTTGGAAAATTAAGACTAGTTCGTTGATCACATGTTTATTTGAGTCAAAGTGAAGGGCTAATGTATCTAGTACACATTGATGTGGACTATTTGGATCCACCGCAAAAGATAAGAAATCATTTCGTCATGATTTGTTGAAAGTTCAGTAAACATGATTATACTTATAAGATTAAGTGTAATTCAGATTCTTTGAAAAGTTTCAAAGAGTGGCAGAACGAATGAGAAGAATCTATTAGGCAGAATGATAAAGGTTTCTCCAATATGAAAGGTAAGAAGAGTACCGTAGTATCACGTTTTATGATCATCTTAATGATTATGGAACTATGTCACAATTGATCCTCTAAGTACGTCTTAGTGAAATTATTTTTGACTAAGAAGAGGAATTGATAATTGTTGGAATAGTTTAATCAAGCGATGAATCATACTTTGTTTCCAAATCTGTTGGATTAGTGTCTAAGATCGTAACTATATTTGGTATGTACTTGACCCGATAGTAGCATGGTCCTTTTGGGTTGCCTTCACCAAAGCAACTTAACTGGATGAAATATGGAGAAAGAGGTTAATTATGATTTATTAATATATTATAGGAATAATATATTAAAAGAGAAATCATATTATTTAATTAATATTGTTCGAGAATTAATTTAGAATTAATTTTGTGGTCAAAAGAGATTAATAAAATTAAGGGGACTGATACTGTAATTATAATATAGTTACAAAGTTGGGCTTATGATCCCTAAAGAAGGGATGGACGAATTCTATGGGGAAGCCTACATAGAAATCGTCAATAGGGGACTTCTGGAAGGATTATGTGGACTGCTTAAGGCCTAAGCAATCAGATTAGGGTTTTGACTGAAACCCTAGCAGCTCAACTATATAAGGAACCCTTGGGACTCCT